TCATGGCTACGTGTATCTCGTTGATGAATGTCAGAACGTTTTGTGAATAAATCGCTCAAATAATGTGGAGCAAGTTCATTGACACATTTGTACATCATAATAGCCTCTCTTAGTAGTAATTGTTCCTTAACTGGCTCCCAGTAAAGGAACAATTACTACTAAGAGAGGCTATTATGATGTACAAATGTGTCAATGAACTTGCTCCACATTATTTGAGCGATTTATTCACAAAACGTTCTGACATTCATCAACGAGATACACGTAGCCATGACTCACTGCAAATACCATTGTACAAAACTTCCGCAGGTCAAAGGTCCTTTCATTATAGAGGCGTTACACTCTGGAATGATTTGGACATAAAGTACAAAAAGTTAGACTCCCTAAAAACTTTCAAAAACGAACTGAAGCGAAGCATGCTAGAACAAATATAGAAGTAGATAATTTTACCTTGTTAAACTTTATACAAATGTCTTACCTTTTTACCTTAATTTAAATTCTAGATTCTAAAACTTGTAAATAGAACAACATTTATTTTTTGTAAATCAGTGTTGAAAATCCCTATTTAGAGAACACAATAAAGTATGTATGTATGTATGTATACATTCAGAATTATAGAAGTTGTTTTGTTTTTTCTTTCTTTTCGCCCAATTACATAACAATAAGAAGTAGAATGAAATATTTACAATATTAGGGCTAGGAACCTTCTAGAAACCAAAAGGATTTTGTTTAAGGTCCCTAGGTAATAATTATAACTAGTTATATTCATAATCTAGCATATTCATAAGTTAGCAATGAATTTACGAGTTGGATGTCATATATTGATATCATGTCAACAATAGTCAAAATTGTAAAATTGTAAAATTCATATGATATAAACCGGTTTCTTAGTTGTTACAGCAACTTTAGTTGACAATCGTTCGAAAGGAAATTTTTGATATTCTTTAAAATATGTGTGCTGATCGCACTCCTGCTGACTGACTACAATAAAGTCAAGCCGGTGTAAATCTTTAACAATTCTCTACCATGTAAAATAATTCCATGGGGGAAGGATTTGCGCGAATATCACAATAGTTTGTTTTTACTAGCGAGTTAACAGCGTACATTCTTTGCCTTTATTATAAGCGCTTATATTTAGATCTGATTACTTAGCTTACCAATTGTGTTTTTCACAATAGAAATTCATTTACACAAAGATGTTTTGTTTTATTATGATTTAAATCATTACCCATAAACTTATTTACACATTCATTGTTTACAGCACGATCGATCGGAAGTATTTACAGGTAGAAGAGTATTATATAGAAAATCGCTTCAGAATTTTGATTTCAACCGTTCGGATTTTCTGTGCGAAGAAAACCTCACATGATATGTAGCGACCAACCGGAATTAAAGTTCAAAATTTGTTACATGACAATAATTTTTTAATAATTCCAAATTTAGCATCATTACAATATAAATGTGATACAAAGGCGATAAATTCAAGGGTTTTTTATTGTTGAACACGGAACGGTTATTTTTAAAATTGTATATAAGCTTCACAAACATTTAGATATAGTATGCAAACTATACTTAACCGTATTAGAATGGCGTAGACTCCTTATAAAAATGTGCCTTTCGGCGCTAAATAACATTCGAATTACAATACTTTGAAATCATTTCACCTAAAATTAGAATACGTTACATGGCTGCTGATTGCAGTACATCTTGCTGACTGACTACAATAAAGTCAAGCAGGTGTAAATCTTGAACAATTCTCTACCATGCCAAGGGGGAAAAATTGGCATGAATATCACAATAAAGTGATCGATTCCACCAGACGGGAATTTTTTAAATTCTATATACGCTTGTGAAATATTTAGGTATAGTTTGCAAACACGACTTAGCCACATTAGAAAAATAAGAAATTACTGATCGACAGTAGGCTGATAACGAAGATAAATTATTGCCAATACGATATATCCAGTTGGGCGCTTTGGAGGTCCATTCAAAATAATATTTTTAATAAAATCTCAACCTTGCAATTTCAAGCTACGTTAACGTGACCGATTTTATCAAGCCAAATGACATTGATTAAATCTAAGCAATGTTTATAGGATCACCCTATAACTTAAAAAACAAAGTTGGTACTGAACAGGTTATGATAAATGATAAACCGGTTACTCGATATTCCTCTTTTCTATGTCTGGGAGTAGAACTAGATGAAAGAATGAGCTGGGAAAACCATATAGACACAATATGTAGGAAAATTGGCTCCGGTATTGGAATCATCAAAAGAGTAAAGCCGTTTGTACCGTCCGAAACACTACAGAATTTATATAATTCTCTCGTTCTCCCATATTTTGACTATTGTTCATCTTTATGGGATAATTGTGGAAGCATGCTCAGAGAGAAATTACAAAAACTACAAAATAGGGCGGCAAGAATTATGACAGGTGCCAAATATGATATCAGGTCGACAGATTTGCTCCATGCTATGTCATGGAAAAATCTGAACGACAGACATAAAATGAATAAATTGGTCTTGATGTTTAAAATATTAAACAACCACTCAGCTCCGAACTTAAAGGATAAATTTGTAACAAGGGACATAAATCCTAGTACTAATTATAATCTCAGAAATGCTGACATAAATCTTTCAGTTCCTAAACCACGTACTGAATATTTAAAAAAGAGTTTTGGATATAGCGGGGCTGTTCTATGGAATAGTTTACCTACGCAGGCAAAGCAAACAGAATCTTTAAGTAGCTTTAAAAATTTGATAAAATAATGTGTGCTACAGAGTCAGGCATCGAATAGTCTTGGTTTTTTAACTTTTTTATCTACGTATTTGTTATTCTATGTTATTCTATTTCATATTTAATTTATATTAGTTTTTAGAATGTAATTTGTGTGACGCCCCTCATGAAAATCATCCATGGGTGATGAGGGAAGCGTGGTTAAATAAAGTTTTACTACTACTACTACTACATGCAACTTTCCTACGTCGCTGATGAGTTTGACTAATGGTCGAGGGTAATAGGTCGAGGGCGAGGGTAGAACGTCGAGGGTCGGAAAAAATGTCGAGGGTCGCAAAAAATGTCGAGGGTGAATTTTTTGACTATAATTTTCTGGCATATTTTTAGATACTGAATCAAATACTTACCATTACACATACGTTTCACAATAAACTTGCTTTGGCCCAACGTCGATGTTTTAGCCCTATTATGGAATTTGGCATGGCGCAGAGTAAGTATTCTTCGCTATTAAACCCAAAATTTAGTTTGAACAAGCGGATATATGTTTTATACGCGGATGTATGCTAACGAATAAACTCTATTTTGATCATCATGAAGTTAACTGATCAAATTTCGATCGCTGCAATCAAAAGGCGCCGCTTCACATTAATTTTGATAAACATAACATAACCCTTTGCGACCTTTATGTGCGAAAATGTATGATTTATGTGCGAAAATTGTTAATACTTGTGCAGTTACCATTCACAATGAAGACTATTCAAGTTCGAAGTTAATTTTCAGAAAGTGTAAAGCGTTTATTTCGAAAATGGTCGACTTTAGGAAGAAGTGCCAAAGCATGCAAGTTGTGGAGGAACAATCATGTTCAGTAAAACGTTGTGTTGAGATTTCCCCATCGTGTAAGCCGCCATCGAAACGATCAGCGCAACCTAAACAGGCGAGATCGGGCAATGCTGCAAAGACGCTGATTTTTCAAAGTGAAACTGCACCAGTACTAACCAGTTCCCACGCAGTTTATTCTACCAATGCCAGAGCTGGAAGGGACTAACTTGCAGCAACTATTTGAGAATCATGACCTTCCGTTGACCGAAATTCAGAATAAGAAAGTAATTCAAGCGGCAAACACGAAGCAGCCAGTTGTCGTCGCGGGAACCATAGCTAGGGAATGCCCTAGTGTGTTGTCATTGATAAAATTATCTATCACGGACGAGTTGAAATCAGTCTGCAAAAACCTTTGCAGACGTTTCGGCGGTTCCGAGTTGTATGACAAAAGCTACAACAAGCTGCAGGAGTTTGATTTTGAAAAGTTGTGGCGAGAAATAAAGGTAAAGGTGCCCTTTCCCGTTGACATTTTTAACGCAGTGTCTGGCAACAATACCTCTGATGAAGATATTAACCATGGATTAAATGTAAAGTACTGCTTTCTTTACTCCATTCTTATGCATGAAAGGTGGCATGAGCTGAGTCTTCTGAAATGTGTGAACACAATCCTGGCAATCGCAGGAGCTTGCACGAAACAGGTGTGATTTTTGTTTACTATATTATCACAATGTTGTAATTGTTTCATTTTCACTGAGATTTAGTTGCCAGTATACATTCAATTAATTTTATCAGAATCTTATTTATTTGAAAATTGAGACTTAAATAAGCAATTCCAAATATATTAATAAATACATGCACGCAATTAATTTTATTAGAATCTTATTGATATGAAAATTGAGACTTAAAGAATCATTGTCAACCACAATGCATTGCGTGCGTGAATTTGGTCCGCGGCCATTTTGTTGGTCGAGAAATTCATTAAAATAAAGTTGAGTTTTGTCATCCGTGAATATCCTAAACATCTTTCTTGAATATTAAATAGTTGACATTGTTTTGGTTAGAATACGTATTGGAATACTCCATTTAGTGTTTATTTATCACACATTTCGTCCCGGTTGTGGGTTTTTGTATGAAAAGATATGGCAACATCAACCAGCGATAGGCCGCCCAAGCGTGGAAGGCCAAAACTTGGTATTGCTATTAAACGAATTGGCTTACAAGCACAAGTGTATGACGAGTGGATTATAAAAAAGAATTCCCTTGGATTTTCTGAGAAGAGCAATAGCGATTTTGCTAATTATTTGCTTCGTATAAGCGACGAACAAAGAGGTCAAACATCGCCTTCAGGTGAGTTTCCAATGTATTCTAAAGATCTTGGCACATAATTTGTTTCGCTCCATGGGAATAGTTACAGGGTATATTATTCATGTTTGTTCCTGATTACATTTGCTGTAGGTCCATGTCATTCAACGCCTATGGGAAAACAGAGTAGACCCCAATTGTGTGATTATTCTCCCATATTTGCCATGGAGGATGAACCTAGTCATGATGAGTAAGTATAAACTTTTGAATATAAGTATGTTCGTGAATTGTGATTTGTTTGCTAAAACATTACGGCATAATTTGCTTATTTAGAATTCTAGATGTTACTGGCATTTCAAGTCTCAATGTGAGCACAGTTGAAAGTGTGTCTGTTACACTCAATCCTGAATTTGGAGTGTATGCTGGGGATATTTCAGCAGATAGTTTGAGTGAAGATTCAGAGTATGATGAAATAA